TTGTTTAGCACGTCAACTTTTATGGGTCGAGCAAGGTTCGACATTCATTCGTAGATTCTTTGTTTCAATGGTACTCCTTGCTCAAAATTTCTATCTATTTTTGTGTTTTAAAAGATGTGATTCTGTATAAAAAAATTGTAATTCTGCATGGTATACATGAAAACATGAGATCCTACAACTCATATAAAAAATATACAATATAACTATGTAATATGTTAACGTCCAATCAAGATGGACATACACAATACATGACTCACATATTTGTCACGAGGGGGCCATGTCACAATACATGACTCACATATTTGTCAAGTAGGGTTTCAATGGAGTCCGTTCATCATTCCTTTTCTTCTCTGTCTTATACTTCCCTGATCCCTCCACTTCCATGTTCCTCCTTCGTCCTAAGAGCTTATCTCATTTGTCATCAACAATTCTACTTTACTAGCTTTAACTCGGTCTGTTGGCTCGACTCTTTTAGATTACCAATTCGTAGTGCAAGAGTGACACTAAGAATGGGAGAGCATATAGTTTTGGAGGATTGTATATTCAAAAAGTTAATATTATCAAATTTTAGAAAAAATATTACAATACATTTTTAAAACAATCAATATCAATATATATATCCAAAATAAAAGAAAATATTTAATAGCATATACGAATAATTCGTTACAAATTTTAAAAATAATAAAATTACCTTAATATTTTTTGTGTTTTAAATTTTATTTATAGAGCAAAGGTACACAAATCTCCTTCCTACCGGAACCCCCAAATTTTTCTCAACCGGCACCCCAATACCACACACCCACGATCTTGCTCGTTAGCAACATCTTCTAAGTTTTCTAGCCATCAATCATCGAACCTTCATTTCCTTCCTTCCTACTACCTATCATTTCATAAATTCCAAAATTCTTAGGCTAAAAATTATCATACCAGTTCAAACAATCTTTAGATCAGTAGCCACATCAATAATATCATCGAATATAACTCTTCCAATGTAGTTCTAAGCTCTTAATCTGATTGAGTTCATGGCGAGTGTAATGAGCGGGGGCAATACAGAGCTTTAGTCAATCGTTGGTGATTAGTAGATCATCCGTGTAGCGATCTTAAATCATCCAAAGAGCTTGTGATGCAAACAATTAGTTTTTGTCTCGACTCTCAACCACCATATGTATGCGTTTCTTTAGAGAAACAACTGGTCACTGTCTTTCTAACCCATCTATTAAATTATAAATTCCCCTGCATAATTCGCTCTTCAACATATCTCCATTTACCAATGTGTTTCGAATTCCCTCAAGTTCTCACTTTCATGCTCTAAAGCATTTGTGCTAACCCATGTCCCTAGAATTGTGTGAGTACTTAAAGATTAATTAATGTTAGAGCATGTGTAAATAACTAAATAATTTATAACAGAAATGAAAGAAGTTAAATAACACAACCATACACAGTTAGATAAATAAGTATCTACATGTTCCTAACATCCATTTCAAAGATACTCATTAATTGCAATCATAACTCGACTTTTCACTACCTGATGAAATACTAAATTTCAAGCAATTGCATATGCAGCGTTAGGTATGTGTGATGCCTGAGTAGATAAAAACAAACCATGATAAACATCACATGAGAAACTACTTTCCCTTGACATTGAAGGCTGCACCAATGCCTCCAAAGTTCTATAATAAAAATCAAATCATAGCCTGCACAATAGAAAAATACTGTTAGCACTTAAGGAATTCGTACGCACAAAGATGCTACCTTTTGTCTCTGAATGAAGTAGTAAAATTTACTTAATTTTGACATCTACTTTATAAATGCGCCATATTGGGCAATTATATAGACATTATTAGTTTATAAATTGCAGCATTATAAAAGCTAAAATCATCCGATTGGGCAATTTAGTACAAATAATTGATTTACAATGAGTAGACATTGACCTTCTACTAGAATGAGTGCCTAGATATTTTTTTAGAATACACTATATCTTTGGAACGGAATTCGAAACTAAGTTCATTCATGCTCTTACTTAGATGGCGGGGATCAATAGCTTTAAACGTGTATTTTCGGGTAAATATATGTAATTAGAGATTGGTTCATGAAAAGAAAGCATATGGTAAGATAGATAAATAGATGAACAGTCTCCACTACCACACAATTTTTTTAGTTTCTTTTCTTGTTAAGCAGTTAGTTAGTGCTAAAAACTTTAAATTGTAAACTATATTCATAAGAAAGAAAAAAATTGTAAACCAACAACCCTGGACCGATATAGATGATGGGACAATAGTTGTGGTTGGGAGAGAAGTATGGTCCGGCAGGAGATGTCATGTCCTTACTCTTAGTCATGCGGCCTTAGCTCTCAATTTCGTTAGAGAATTAAGCAACCTTCTCTCAAGCAAAGAAAGAAAGAAAAAAAGACAAAGGAATGAGATAACTCTATAAGTTCATTTCTCTAACGTGAAATGAGTACAAATAATTGAGATGGATGCTTATATAGTTCTCTCAACATACAATGCATCAATGCCCCCTCATAATAGTCCCTCTCCATTACTACACCCCTTATGCCCCCCCCCAAATGCATTATCTTAATACCACCCATAATGTGGCTCATAAGTGCACACTAAAGCTCATAAAAGGTTGGAAGAATCCTAGAGGCATCTCTATTCTTCTAGTCTTCCATACACGCTATATGTGCAGCCGCCATGGTATCACCTTGTTGGCGCTATGTCATCTGCCACATGTGACATCTCACAAAAAACTCGTAAGAGCCATACCTCGTCACACAAGCTGTCTTTGGCTCTTCGCCCTCTGCTATCCGCACTTGATAGTAGCATGAGCAAAGATCAAGTTTGGTGAACCATCTCGCATCTCCAAGCTGGTCGAACAAGTCCGTAATGTTGGGAATCAGCCACTTGTTCTTCACTGTCAACTTGTTGATGGCTCTATAGTCGATGCACATGCCCAACGACCCTTCCTTCTTCTTTCGAAACAACACTGGTGCTCCATAAGGTAACTTCGATGGCCTTATGTAGCCCTCGTCCAGTAAGTCATTAAGCTACCTCCGCAATTCTTCCAACTCTGGTGGGGCCATCGGCATGGTGCTCTTGAAGGGGGCTTCGCTCCTGGCTCCAACTCGATCTTGTGGTCGACCTCTATTCCTGGTGGCAGCTTCTTAGGAAACTCCTTTTGCATCACATCATCGAATTCTTCAAGCACACCTTCGATAATGGGAGTTGTGGTTCCCATTGAGCCTCCTTCTTCCTCAATCTCCAAGGACACAAGAAATTTTGCCTCCTTCTTTTTGAACTCCTTCAATACCTACATAGTGAACAAAGCACTATGGTGTCCATCCCCCTCAAGATAGACCGCATGAAAATCCCCTCCCTTATCTAAGCACATCGTGTTGGAGTTGGGTTTTAAGAGCACTCCCTCCTTGTCGAGGAAGTTGATGCCGAGGATGACTGGGTGATTGTCCATGGTGACGATGTAGAATTCAATGATGTCTTCCCACTCGTCAAGCTTCACTGGAACTCTGTGCGTAACTCCATGGATTAGGATGGACTCTGAATTGATCGTCTTGAGCTACCCTTGCCCTTCTCGTAAGCAATGCATGCCAGTTTGCCTCCTCGATGTGTAAGAAGTTGTTTGTGGCGCTGGTATCCACCACGGTTTGTGACTCGCCTTGCATTAATTAAGCCAAAACATAACACCTCCCACGCTTGCTCTCCTTTGTGTCGGTCTTCACCGTGCCTAGCTTGCGGATTGAGCCAATCGTAGCCTCTTTTGCCTTGGGATCCTTATTGAGCCTCCATGGTCCCCAATCTTGCCTTCCTTGGGCAATCTAGCACTTGATGTGTGGTCCATCACAAAGGAAACAAGTAACGGGTTTTTATTCATACTTACCACCTTTGCTTGGGCCACCATGTTGTTGAGTGCGAGTGCCCTCCTTGAAAGTAAGCCGTTGTTCTCCATCCTTGTTGGACTTTAAACTCTTCTCCTTGCTACTCTCTTGTGAGGCTTTTCTCTTCGTTTGAATTTGATTCTTCATTGTTAGCACCAAACCATACCAGGCTCTAATACCATTTGTCACAGCCAGATCTCAATTCTATTAGAAGAAAGACAAGAAGAAAGCAAGAAGAAAGACAAAGGAATGAGAGAACTCTCTAAGTGTATTGCTCTAAAAATGTGGAATGAGTACAAATGAGAGAGATGACTCCTTATATAGGCATCTCTACATACAAGGCATCAATGCCCCCTCATAATGGTCTCTCTCCATTACTACACCCATTAAGTCTCCTCATAATGCACTCTCTTAATACCACCCATATTGTGGCTCATAAGTGCACACTAAAACTCATAAAGGTTGGAAGAATCCTAGAGGGACAGTTTTTTAAAAACTCAATCCAATTTAGCATCTCAATGAATGATTCACGAGAACCCTTATTTCTACCGGGGAAAAAAAAGGATTCCTTATCCTTTGACATTATCTCAGCCTTTTTCTAGAATTTTTTTTTTCTATAACAAGACTTCAATAACGCAAAGTTAAAAATGGAATGGTGGTAGTAGTAGGGAAGTATCAATAATACAATAAACCGACCTCCCTTTACATCCAGTTCAAATCCCAACCCTCGACAAGCTAGGTTGACGGATTGTCCAATAATAGCTCGTTTAGGGGAAGAAAGGGGAGAAGCTTCGATGTTCGCCCGATCAAATGTATTATTGACTAAGTTTTACGAAAAAATCTTCCTATGTTTTCACCATTTTTCTAGTCTAGAATTTGGTTTTAGTGCTAGATTATTGTTTGTCTTGATTGTTGCACCCAATAAAATTATGGTTCCTTAGTATTCTATAGTTTTTTGTTATAACAGAATGGCTAATTACTTGCTATTTAAATAACTAAATATATATGCTAATAATGTCAAAACTTTGGCTATACATATAATATTTTCTTAGGTCTGGATAAACTTTTTTATTATAACAGAATAACAAATAATAACCGAAAGATCTTATTCATAATTACCCGAAAATATCTTATTCATAATTAAGAGCAGCCAACTTGCAATAATTCTCCATATAATCTACACCAGACCATCATATTTGTCACGATTACATATTACTCATGCAGTCACCAGAACATCTTTCATGCACTCACGAGCTTTGCATAAAGCTACCAGAGGTTCAACCTTAGGCATTGTGAGTCCCTTCCCCTCCGACATGTCTATCAACCCTTCACCAACCCTTGTCCACTCGAAGCATTGAATCAACGCACCCAACGCCAAACTCACAACTCTATTCGCAAGCCCAGTACCGGGACACGATCTTCTTCCCATGCCAAACGGTAACAATTTGTACGCATCCGCCTCCTTGCCCTCGTGCCTCTCCGGCCGAAACGTCGTCGGCTCGTCCCACACGCTAGGGTCCCTTTGAATTGCCCATGCGTTGGCCATTAACATCGTCCCTTTAGGAATGTGGTAACCTCCGATCGTGCAGTCCTCCGAGGAGTAGTGCGGTACTAGCAGAGGTGCCGCTGGATACAGTCGAAGTGTCTCGTTGATGATGTTTTGCAGGTAAGGAAGTTTGGCGTAATCCGATTCCTCTACCAATCGATTGTTACCAACCACATCGTCTAACTCTGCTCTTGCCTTATTGAGAATGTTCGGGTGATTAAGTAAGAGTGACATTGCCCACTCTATTGTTGTTGCAGATGTGTCTGTACCAGCCGTTATCATTGTCTACAAACAAAACGTAGTAAAACTTTGATCTCTATTTCTCCTGTTTTGAGGTCAAATCAGATGTAAACCTTAGTACTAAAACTACTTATACACTAGTATTGGGGTAATTAAATGCCACATTTGGTCACTGAGATTACTAAATCGTATCATGTTTAGTCACTACAAAAATTTAATATCATTTTTGGTCACTGGAATTACTGAAACCTGTCACATTTAGTCACTCTCTCGTTAGTTTCCGTCCAACTCCATTAATGGAATTGGACGGAAACTAACGGGAGAGTGACTAAATGTGACATGTTTTAGTAATTCGGGTGACTGAATGTGACATGTTTCAGTAATTCGAGTACCCGGAGTTGAACGGAGGCTAACGAGAGAGTGACTAAATGTGACCTGTTTCAGTAATTCGAGTGACCAAAAATGATAATAAATCTTTCTAGTGACTAAACATGATACGATTTAGTAATCTCAATTATCAATGTGGCATTTACTCAATAATATTGTATCATATAATTTTAAAAAGACTTTATCACGATGTCATAGTCCAACATATATTTGTTGATTTATCTGATTAATGAAATTTCGCTTGAAGAAAGTTAAATTCACGATGTCATAGTCGTACTTTTTTTATTATAATTAAGTTGATTTGTCTGATGAATGAAACAATACTTTAGAAAATGATTTAAGCATAAAGAATATGCCGTAGCACTCACCATGACCTGACCTTTGATAATATCGTCGGAATAAGTTTGAGGATCCGATTTCTGCAAATCCAAGAAAGTATCGATCATCGTCTTCTGCTCGGCGCTCTTATCCTTCCGCCGCTCGTCGATCAAACCCTGGAAAACGGCGTCGAATTTCGCCAGAACCCTCCACATCCTCTTCTCCATCCCGCCGTAGCCAATCCACCTCAGCACCGGCAAGAAATCCCCCGGATTCGACGCACCGCTCAGCTCGAACACCTCGCTTATCACCTCCTGAAACCCCTCGCCGCCTCCTCCTTCCTCCGCCGACGCAGACCCAAAATACCTCTTCCCGGCGACCATCCTCATCACTATGTTCAACGAGAGACCCGAAAGCCGCGACTTCATCTCCACCACCTCCCCGTAACCCGACCCGGCACCCGAAACCTTGTCAAACAGGCCGCGGACCAGATGCCTGACCTCATCGTGACGTAGGGCGAGGGAGGAGTTGAGGCGGGCGGTGGAGAGGAGCTCGACGGCGGTGAGGCGGCGGAGGTTGCGCCAGAGCGGGCCGTAGGGTGCCGCCCCGACGGTGGTGTAGTTGTAGTTGAGGATTCGGCCGGCTACCATGTTGGGCCGGTTGGCGAGGACGACGTCGTTCTTGTTGAAGCACTCCTCGGCTAGCGACGGGGAGGAGACGACGACGAGTTTGCGGACGCCGAGGGAGAGGAGGTAGATTGGGCCGTACTGTTGGGAGAGGGTTTGTAGGGTTCTGTGGATTGGTTCCTTCAGGAGATGGAGGTGGCCGATGATTGGCAGCGACGGCGGGCTGGGAGGGAGGCTAGTGTGTTCATCATGTCGTTTGTTTTTGGATGAGATTAGGAGCTTGGAAATTATGACGACCAAGAGAATTGTTGGGAGGAAGTAGAGAGCTATAGTTTGGTCCATTGTGTGGCTAGAGAAGTGTAGACTGTAGAGTGGGCAGAATTGAGGTTAGTGTGATACTACTCATGTCCTTTCTTTATAAGGAAAAAAGTATGGAAAGTTTAAGTAGTACATGATATTGATATATAATTGAATATTTTTTAACGATTTGAGTTATTGGGATAAACTATTATTTTACATAATATCAAAGTAGTATATAATTGATATTTTTTTTGATTTTTTATATAACATCAACACAAATTAATGAAAAGTTCAACATTTATCAGATAATCATTGATTAACCAGTATTCAAAATTGAAATAAGAAGAAAGAATTACAGAGTCAAAATAAAAATAAAAATTGCAAAGAGTAGGTGGGCTGTAGGGAGTAGGGTTAGGTGGGCTGTAGGGAGTAGTGGTAGGTTTCAACGCTTATTAATTAAAAAGATTGCAAAATGGTAGGCGCTAGTTTAATTTTGCCAACCCGTTCGTGGGTTTTTGCTTCTGGGGTCGGATTTATTCTCGGGTCAGGTTTTTATCGGTCTGAACGGTTCGTCCGACTCGTTTTCATAACATAGGTATATAGTTCAAATTCTGTTAACGTCATTTGTTAATCACATGGTATTTGAATTTGTGCAAACTTCAAACTTATATATGATAATTTTCATAGGAGGGAGTGTGCTCATAAGTAAATATAATATACTCTTCCAAAAATTTATTGGTTAGAACCAATTTGTTCGTGACAGAAAGTCGTATACAATTAAGTTGGAGATAATAAGTTTTTAACAAAGTAACTTTCTATGTTGATGTTTACATAATTGTTGTCAAGTAGTGTAAGGTTCAACTTGAGCTTCGTTTGATGTAAGGGATGAGCTTCACGTCAAAGGGTATCGACGGCTTTGCCTGGCCTGGATAGTGATTCCCCTTGGAATGGACGTTCGATGGGTACACGTACATTAGTAAAATTGGCGCCGGCTGTCCTGGGCTGGGATTGATTCTTCCGCCATATTTTCGCGTAACATTGGCCATAGATACATAGAGGTGTCAATCGGAAGGTTCAAGCAGGTTCAATCAGATTGTGGGTTAGTCTAGTTTTGGATTTGTTGGGTTTTGGTTTCATCGGGTTTGGGTTCAATCAGGTTGCAGGTTGTTGGGTTGGGGGTTTATTGAGTTTGGGTTCAATCGAGTTGTGGGCAAATCGGGTTTCGGGTAGGACGGGTTGCGCGCGGAAAGTGTTACTCATTATTCAGGTTAGCTACCAACTTACACATTTTATTACACTAATTTAAAATATTTTTCACAATTTTTCATTTTACCTCGTATATATACTAAGTTTTTTTTAAAATAGTATGAATCAATTTGTATGATTTGCAAACTTGTTATGTAATTAATCATAATTGATAAAGTGGACTAGCTAAAAGTAATGGTGATCTCAACATTTGCAATCAATAGACACTATTAACAAACCATACATACAAAAAATAAAACACCACTCTAAAAGCAAAGAAGAAAAATAGTTTTTCCTATCTCAAAGTTTTTGGGAGACAATATAAATCAATCCAAACGAAAATTGTCGACCTTTTGGAGCGGGAGGGAAGAATTGGATGACAATATATATCAAGCAAAAAGAAAATTTGGCTGCATATTGAAACGAGAAGGAAAATTGAGTAACAAAAAAGGCATGAATTATGTATATTATAAATTACAGACTTACTTCTCTCATGTGTGAAGTATAAATTTTTTGTTTAACAAAAAAAAAATGTGATTAAGGTTCATAGCAACATTTGCAAGCGTTGTCAATGAGTAATTCTAATTTATTTTCATATGCAAAATCTATACAAGACACTAATGTTATAAACAACAGTTTATGGGAGATGGAAATCAGGCTTAATAAGCAATGAATTGAAATGTTGGTGCATCGAATTGGAGGAAATTTTCCCTCCTCAGATTTTCATTTTGGTATAGACAAATTGTAGATGGAAAGCAAAATGAGAAGAACGAAAAGTGGGGAGAGAAACATTCAGGAAGTGGAAAGTTGGGATGAAAATATCAAAATAAGGGAAAAGGTTTCCCACGTAAATGAAAATGTGGTGGGAGAATTAGCAAATGAGATTAAGTTTTCCACTTAAATGTAAAATAATATGAATTTGAGATAAGATAACTCATTACATTACATGTACTCGAATATATGCTAAATCAAATTAGTCAAGCCCTATAAGACTACAGTAAGGTTGACTATAGACAAAATTTTAGTCACTAAATGTTAAGACTCCTAAATCATCATAAATAAACATTTTGATAATCAAATTGATAATTAATTAAACTCCTAAACCATCATATGTAAACATTGTGATAAACTTTCTCTCTTCTTTCTCTTAAAAAAATTGAAAACACAAAATTTCCCCTTATTTTTTTCGTTGAATAAAAACACCAAAACCAGAAACAACAAAATTTCCCACTTCCTTCTCTTGCTATAAACCAAAGCACCAAAACTCCCTTTCTTTCTTTTCCCAAAAAATTAAGCACCAAATTTCCCTTTCCTTTTTATTCTCAAAAAGTTCAAAATACAAAATTTCTCACTTCTTTCTCTTTACATAAATCAAAAGCAGCAAAACTTCCCTTTCTTTCTTTTAACATAATTTCAGCTCAATTTCATTTTTCGAACTTTTCTTTATAAAATAAAATATTTTTACTTAGACTTACAACAAACTTCATTTTGAAATAATATATAAGATAGTAATTATTCGGGTCAATCGGACGGGTACGGGTTAGTTCGGTTCAAGCAAATCGGGTTCGAGCCAAGCGGGTTACGAATTTAATCGGGTTCGGGTTAATCAGCTGCGGGTAGTGGAGTTATTGGTTAATCGGGTCATGAGCCAATCGGGTTGCGAGTCAGGCGGGCTACGGATCATTGAATTTTAGTCAATTTGGGTTGCGAGTCGATTAGCCAGGCGGGTTGATCAAGTCGGATTCTATTTATCTAAGCTATCCCCCGGTATGAGGCCTCGATTACCCGACCGAGATTCTGGATAGAAGACCGGGGATATACAGGAGCTATCTCCCGGTCATATAATCTTTATCCCTGACCCGGTATTTCAATGGCCAGACTGGGTAATTCAAGCATACCAACTTATCTAAGCTCAGGGTTTTGGAATTCCTCAAGCTTATGGTAGACCCACACGGGAAACACGATCGGGGAACGTCATATGGGCTGGTATAAAAGCAAACCTTGGATTTTTGTCTAAGGATCTAGTTTTTCACTACAAGAAACACCTATGAGAGCCCCAGAGAGAAACTCACGAAGAATAAGTCCTTGGGGCTGATTTGAGCTAAGATCAACAATTAAAACTTTGATTTTGCCCCTCGGAGAGCTAACTGACATCCCGAAGCTGTTATGCACAACATTATGACTATGTCCTTCAGTTGAGTTTTCTTCGCTCTCTATGGAGTAAACCTCCTCTTTACTTGGGTATGAAGAACCCTCATTCCATGTGTTGGGATCAGTGTTGTATGAACCTTTGGATGTTAAAATGATTGAGTATATTCAATTGAAATATGAGTATTTGAGTCATTTGGATCTTGTTCACATTCTCTTTATTTCGGTCGTAACCTCCGATATATAGAATCTGATTGGGCTAATAGAGCTTCTTCAATATGGAAGTAGTGAGTCGATCTTACGAGAGCCACCGATTTAGTACTTTGTACAGGAATTCATTCCACTAGAGGATTTGCCTTAGCATTTTACTCCGGTGGAGGTTAGTCGCCCGCTGGATATTGTGTCTAAGAGGGCTTGGTCGGTTTAAGAGATTCTTAGCTATTATCGGATCTTCCGCGATTTAATCTTCAGTCAAACAATTAAAGTGAACTACAACTTGGACCTAATTGAGGAGCTAGTAGGATACATACCTGAGTATCCCTTCTTGCACTTGAAAACCAAAGAATTTACTTGCTTTCTCTGCTACTTTGTTTTCCACAAGTTCACCACAAATCTGCAGCTAGACAATAGAACATTCATGGAGTAGGCAGTACACTTAGGACAAGGGTTGACAAAATAAGTCAAGCCCACTTTATTACAGTCAATGGTTATACTTCACTATTAAGAGGAGTGTTGTGTTTTTCTGAGTTATAGCCTTTAATAGACCTAGGTTATATTTTTGTATTCGTTGATGTCTTTCTGGGTATGAGTTGGTTGGTTTTGAAAGTACAAAGCAACCTAAGAAAATTTGAATGAAGCATTGGAGAACTCTGGAAGAACAAATGAGCTATAAAGAGAAGAATATGGAGCTTTCGTGAGAAAGATGAGGTTCAATGATGGACAAGTCATCTAGAATTCGTTTAATAAACTCAAAACAAGCCCATAGGAAAAGACTCGGCCCAAGCCGATGAAGAAACTAGCAGCGGCCCAAAATCGGGTCCATTCGCCACTAGAAGAGGCTTGGTCAAGAGGTGTCCAAATTTCAAGGGAGGATCGTCCAACCTTCAAGGAACCCAACCCATGAAAAACAATGAGTGGCATTCCCAACCACCGCCCTACTACCACTAAAACCCTAACCTTATTCAAGAAGGTTACTAAGCCTATAAGGAGTATGAGACCATTTCCTTGTCGGCTTAGGAGACTTTTAGCCGAGTTCTTCCCTTATATATAGAGGGCATGACTCATTAGTTTAGTAAGAATGCACAAACACACACAAAAAAATATACTCTGCTCGAGTAAGAGCTTAGCTTTCGTAGGAGATTCTGCAGCTAAAGTGATGTTGTCATCGTCGATGGTGGTACCCTCCTCTTCTATGTATCTAGTTCAAAATTAATTGTATGAAATAGTTAACTCGTTTATCTTTATGTGTATGAATGCCATATATGATTTTATATCATGCTTGTGTTTATCTACATAAATTTCAATCTCACTGTCTACACATGGATACCTATGTGATGATCATTGTTGTGTATCTAGAATGAATGATTTTTTTATCATTGATGCTTATGATTCTATAGTATGCTACTATATGCATTATTCTTAGTATTACC